ACATCTTCTAGGCCAGGAATAGAGGATAACTTTGCATCCAAAATATTGAGTGTTGTTTCAAGTTGTTGGATACGGAGAGAGAGTGCTGACAGTTTCTCTTCACAAACAGTAGAAAAGCGGTTGAGAAACTGCACTGTGTGAACCACAAACTGGTTTAGAAACGCTACACTTCTTTTCTGTTGAATAGCAGGAACCTTGGTGAGGTCAATGCCGGAACCCACAATGGGCAGCCCGTTCTCGGCCATCCCCGCGGGGCCGGGACAGCGGGCAGCCCTGCTCCCGCCGCGCCCGGAAGGCGCCGCGCCTGTCCTGCTCCGGCAGGGGGATTGGACTAAATGATCGTTTGGGGTCCCTTCCAATCCCTTACATTCTGTGATTCTTCTTTAACCAGTGTTTGAATTTTGTTCCAACAGCCCGTTTTTTTCAGTAGAAGTAGTTGTCCCGGGAGGCTTGAACTGTTGTGTGAGTGGTATGTTGGTTTTAAGTCAGAGCGTCTTGAGGGTGGAGTAGTGTGTTTCTTCTTGTCCGGTCAGGTAGTAATGCATTAACAGAGGTGCTTTTAATTGCTTTCAAATTTAGTTTGAAGATCTGCTTTCGTCTGTGTTGCAAGCACGTTAGGTTTTGTTTATGGTATTTTGAAGAATGCTTTTGAAAGTCAGTTATGCTACTTTTTAAGCCTTGTCTTTTCTTCAGGGTTTCTGTTGGGGTTATAACTTGTATGTTGTGTATGGCTGAATAAATCCATTTTTGTGACTAGCAAAGCGTGCAGTTCTAATTCACTTCTTAATGGGTTTTATGGACTCAGTCCAGGCTTTTGATGATGTCTGGGCTGTTTGTCATCTGCAGAAGTCAGAATGGGCATTGTCTGTCAAAACACTGCTCTTTGGTTGCTTGAAGCTTGGAGTAAGTGTACAGTCTGTATAATTAGAGTCACTTTAGTTGCAATGATTGAGTCCTTTTGTTCTTGAAATTCTAGAAACGAGCTTTTAGCCCTGGTCTGGTTGAAGGCTGGAAAAAGGAGGAGTGTTTCCTCTTAGAGCAGAAATGGAAATCTTGATGGAAGTGAAAAACTTTTCACTTTTTTTTGCTTTTATTTCTACATTTCCTCTAGTATTCTAGAAGCTATTTTAACATAGACACCAACTTAGGTGAGAGGACATTGACAGTGTTTGTTCTATAAATGCATTAAAAAAAAAAGTTATCTGCTGTTTAAATAGTAACTCTTTTGAGAGCCTGGAAAAGCAGATGCTGAAACATATGCAGAGGTGCAGAGGTAACATCACAGTAAATTAGAAGCCATAGAACCATGTTCGCACTAGACCAGGTACTTCCGGTGTACAGTAGGTGGTGAATTCTCCCAGGTGTTATAATCAGTAACTAGAGCAGCTTCTTGTCACTTGATCGTTGGATCAAAACATGTTGTTTGGAATGCCGTGTAGTTGTGAAATAAGTGTAGCTGAAATGTAGGATCTTACTCATCTTCAGGTATTGACAGGAAGCATGCAAAGGCAAGGAAATATATTGCTACAACTTAACCAGACATTGATTCCATCTTCAGCAGGGGTTGGGAAGATTTTTATTGTTGTTGCTTTTGAGAACATGAACCGCTTGGGTTTGTTTAATCTAGGATGGACGCAACTCTGAAAGAGCTGACCAGCTTAGTGAAAGAAGTCTACCCGGAAGCACGGAAGAAGGGCACGCACTTCAATTTTGCAATTGTTTTTACAGATCTCAAGAGGCCTGGATATAGGTAAATGGCATTTCTTCTCCAGGTTAATAGAAGACTTCAGGCACTGGAGCAGTAAATTATTTTTCATTAACAGATTTTTGAAGTCCAGAACCCACATACCAAATTTCTGAAGTTCTTGATAACAGACTGTATGATGACCACTACAAACTCTAGATTTTGCTTGGTAGCCATCACTGTTAATGTATTCCCAAAACAATGAGCCTGTGTGCTTGGCAACCAACCAGAACATGGACGTACAGCTTGAGATGAAGCTTTGTTTCTGGTGATGCCAGGCGTGGTAGGTCTTGGATCTGAGAATGCATTTGAGTTGTAGCAGTGATCTTGTTGCAGATAACCATCTTCAAAAATGGTATGAGCTAACCTTTGTCAGCAACCAGTGGATATATCCTGCTCTGTAATCTGTGAGGTCTTGCTCTGTGTGTGTATGGAAGGGGGCAAGGGGTTCTCTCTGGTATTTAACTTGATGTGGTAGAAGGTTCCCCCACCCCTTTGCCCCATCAGAGAGAGGATTCAGTGTGGCTTTTGGTCCACCTGCTACTGGATGGAAAAAAACAGCATGTGCGTACATAGCTAAATGCTACGTACAGTGCAGAGCATGGCATGGGAGGGTGGTCATGACATGATGCAGTTCCTGTTTTGGACGTGTGGAGAGATTTGCCCCCGATAACTAACTTGCCTTTCCTCTCCTGTGTGCAGGGTGAAGGAGATCGGCAGTACCATGTCGGGCAGGAAGGGCACAGATGATTCCATGACATTGCAGTCTCAGAAATTCCAGATAGGAGACTACTTGGATATAGCAATTACTCCTCCAAATCGTGCGCCACCCCCATCAAGCCGCATGAGACCATACTAAACTATTACTGCTTTGTATGATTACATCTTCTGTTTATTCCTACTTGCTGTTCTAAAGCAGGCTTGTTTTTTTGCTTTTGTTGCTAAGCAGGAACACCTGAAGACAAAGCTAAGCATCAGAAATGAAAGTTAACTTTTAAACCTTAACTTTTAGTTCATTTGTTTAGAAGAAACACTTAATCTTTAGCAGTGCCATCATCCTATCCCTGATTGTTATAGTTTGAACAGTAAGTCAGTGTGTCCAGTGTTTCAAGATGTCCATAAAATACGACCGGAAGGATTACAGGTGTTCTGTAGTTCTGTCTTGTTTGGAATAAAGATTGATGTTATTAATCTTTGTGATAGTGTGGTGGTGGTTGTTTTAGTATTTTTTTAAAGTGGGTTTCTGCAGAATATCTTAGAAGTCTGCTTTTAAGCAGAAGTTGAGATCGGAAGGAGGGCCAAAGCCTTTTTCTGATAACTTCTGGGCTCAATGAGTAGAGGTGTGTGGCCTAATGCACCTTGAATTTAGGTATATATATCTCCTTGAAATTAGGATTTGTTAAACCACGGCTGGCTGGATTTTGGAGGATGAGCAGGTGAGCTGTGTGGTCCCAGGCAGGTAAGCTCAGTGTTACTCTCCCTGCTGATGTAGTTGTGCTGACAGGGAAAGTCGGAGATGAGCCTGACCTGCAGGGGAGTGAGGGGAGCCAGGGCAGATTGCTGTGGCTTCCAGAGGCTGCTCCATCTTGTGCCAAGATGACGACAGTCCACAGATTGGCAGTGGTCTCAGTGACACCAGAATATCCCAGGATACTGAGGGGAGCTGCTGGCCTTACCAGAGGAAGACATGGTTCAGTACACTTGGATGTCATCCTCACTGGAGTTCTGAAGGAACTAGTGTTGTCTTTAAAAACGGAAGGTATAAACCTGTCTTTGAAGGTCTTGCTTTTCTTAGAACAGTGCTCTCCAAACTTCTTTTGATCACACCCCCCTATCAGTAAAAAATCTTTGAACATGCACCCTAAAAATGGATTATTTACAAATTATATACATCTACTACTGCACTAATGTTATGTGCATTTTAAAACTACACAAAAATAGCAGTGAAAAAAGAAAGGTGAAATAGTTTTAAAAGCTTTGAAATTGTATTTGTTAATGGTACAAAACCTGTTTTCTTCCTGCACCCCGCTTGTGTGTGCACCACTTTGGAGACTCTCTAAGAGTCTTTGGCTTGTCCCGCACGCTCTCCTTTGGAAGATGGGAATATCTGCAGAGACCTGGCCAGAAGAAATGCACTGTTTCCAGATGGAGGTTGAGCAAGGAGCACGCGGAACTATTTCCTAATGAAAACACAACCTGCCCAGAGATGCTCTTGCCTGCGGTTCAGATGAGCAGGTCTGTGCTCTGGCAACATGTGTGGGAGTCCTGGCCCTGACCACTAGTTTTTCTTCTTGGCCAAGGGAGCGTGCAGGGTGGAGGCAGGCTGGCTCAAACACCTAGATCTTCTGGGCTGGTGACCACAAGCAATATATTGTCAGTGTACACTGACCAAGAGGACAACACCCAATTTTGGCTTCCAGAACTTAAGGTGAATAGTGTAGTCTCTTTCCCATAGTTGTCTCAATGTAATGAATACATCCAATTTTGGACCCTACACTGACAAGTCGGAGCTGGGTAAATCTCACAGCTTAGCCCTCAAGTAAGATGACTTTCACGAAGACTTGCAGCTTGTTTTGAGCGCCAGTTTCTCATTTCACTGTAACCCTTGAGTGTCAGGGCAAAGCCAAGGAGCTGTGAGGTATCAAAGGTCAAGGCTGTTCTGTGTTAGAAGGTACCGAGGAAGGTGAAGGTTGTTAGGGGTGTCTAGTAGCCACCTTCTAGAACCTCAGAATAGAGGAAGGGGTAGCTAAGGAGTCTCAGCTGTCCATGGGGAAGCTGGAAGGCTGGTCTGCCTGATGGATGCTACTCTCTGGGAAGCAGCTGCTGCTGCCTGGTACCTTCTTGAGGAGCAGGAGAAAGAAAGGGTGACCCATTTCCCAGCAAATCAGCACAACCCCAGAAGATGAGGCCCATGGCTCCCCACAGCTCAGTGCTTGCCAGCTTCTTCTGTCAGTACAGGAGGTGATCTTGAGACACGCAGGTGCCTCTGGTCTTACAGCATGTTCCAGCTGTCCCGGGCTGCATGACTGCTGCCTGACCCCGAGCATCTAGCTGGTCTGGAGAAAGCCAGGTGCTTGTTTTCTGCACGTCGTGTCCTGTGTGCTGAGAGAAAGGCAGGAGTAGGAGAAGTAGAAGCCATAGCTGCTCCTTAGGGCCTTCATCTTCCTCGCTTAAGGCCTCAGCAGAGCAGAGGCTAAGACCTAGTGAGTGTTCCTGCCTGCTGAGGACGAGGCGTGCCTGCTTTCAGGAGATGTGGTTTTCTCTTCCTCTCTCTCATGTGCACTCTCACTCCCTCACTTTCTCCAGTTGCAGTATAGCCTGAGGGGTTTAAGGAGAGCATGGTTCATGCTCTCCTGTCCCCTCTCTCTGGCTGCTTAGTTAGGGAGCTGCAATTTCAGCTGTAATGAACGAGCCTCATTTGCAGCATCACCTGCATCCCAGTCACCTCTTCTCCTAAGACAAGATGTTGAAAAATACTCCCTACCCTTTTTTAAAGAGAGGTCGGGAAAAGACAATATAAACGGTGCTTTATAAAGGACTGTGAGCCTGGAAGTGGCAATGGAGCTGATCTTGTGTGGCCAGGGGTGGGATGGTGGTGATGTTTTGCCAGGGCAGTTATCTCTGGTTCAAGGTGGAGGCACTCTGGGATACTGCTGCAGTGTGGAGCCCAAGTTTTGTAACAGCTCAGTGACTCCTGTGTCACCAGGGGCAGGTTGGTCAGGACTTCTGCCACCTGCGTACTGGGTTGTGGTCAGCAGATCAGTCATCTGGTTTTTGACACGTTATAGACCTGGGCAGACAGAAAAGAGAGGACCACTGCTAAGTGGCCTGCTTGCCACCATGCTGCAAAATGAGGTGAGTCCAGCAGTAAACCAGCATGTACTTATAGAATTGCACAGCCTCCCACCAAAGGCAAGGACAGCCCCTGCTGTTAGAGGTACACAGGAGTACAGCCATTTCCTCATTTTTGTGTCCTGGTTTTTTGCTTTGAATGCCTTTAAGGGTAATTCTCAAAAATTAAACGTAGTCAATATATGCAGCAAGTGAGCCTGGGTCTGTGACTCAGCTGCTCTGGGAGGTGGCCTGGCTTTGCTGCTGGAATGAGAGGCATGGCCCAGTGCATACCCAGCCTGGGGCAGGTCTTCACACATTTCAGAGAAAAAGAGGAACAATCTATCGCTTTATCTTTGGCAGCCCATGAAGCAAAATCACCAGGAAATGGAACATGCAGAACTGCCTTCCATAGCAAATCCTTCAGCTTGAGTGCTTAGGTGTGGAGTTCACCTTCACATGACTCCCATGGAAGTATAAACCTCAGCTGACCTCATCCCCAGCTGCTTTGGGCTAAATGTCTCTCTAGAAAGAGATGTGCCCTTGACCACTTGCACTTCACACAGAAAGGTAATGCAGAAGTGAAGAGCGTTCAACTTTTTGTACTTTTACGAGAAAAGACACTTGAGAAATCAGTGCAGTGCGTGTTCCTACATCAAAAATGCACTATGCCATCAAGGCAAACAGCAGCAGCTTTGAACTCAGACACTGGGACACAGTCAGCAGTTCTGAGAGCAGATAGCGCCAGGGTACAGCCATCCAGATGTTCCAAGACGTGGAATGGTAAGGGACAGTTGTCACCTGTGGAGCTCCTACTGCACAGGAGGGAATTTACTCACAGTAACGAGCTTGTGTGTCTCTCTCAAAGCAACTATAAAAGCTGAGAAAAGATGTCAGTCCCTAAAAGCGAAAAATATGAACAGCACTGTGGTTTGGGAAATTAAAACACAGTCTCAAAACTCAACAGCTGAGCAATCGCATATGCTCAGGAAACAGTCGTAGACAACACTACATCCAGAGATGTCAATCCACAGGACTTGCTTTGTATGCAGCAATTGCATGAGGAATTTTTGTCCCTTATCAAGACAGCTGGGTGAGATGCATTTTTTTTCCATTTTTCTTTTTGGATGCTTAAAGCCCTAACAGACAACAACTCCCTTTCATCTTTTCACTTTCATCAGCAACCACCCCTTCAAAGCTCTTTTTATCTCCCACCTGCATAAGGTGAAGAACCAGGATGATAGTTTTCACGAAAGGTTTCCTGACGTCATTTCTTAGAGGTAAACCCCATGCACAGCACTGCACTTAGCAGGCAGCTCTCACTCCCTGCCCAGGCCCCTCCAGGGATACCACACCTACTCTCTCCCCCATGTAGGTGACCCTCCAGGTCTCACCTTGTCCCTGTCCTTCCTGAGAGGGGCTCGGTTTTTCTCTGCCTTTAACCAGTGACAAACACTTAGGCCACCCATGCAGGTCTCCAGCTCTCAGTAGCAGCTTCCACAGGCTGCTCTGCTCCCATAGATGTGGCTTCAGATTCCATGTTCCTTCTGGTGTGCCTTTCCTGCTTGTCCAGGTTTGATTTGTCCTGAAGGACTCTCTGCTCTGCCTCCCCAAGCAAACCTGGTTCTTAGAACTATTTTTCTCCCCTCATTTTGTTCACCTAAATAACATTTTTTTCAATCTAATAAACAAAAAAAAGTGTATTGAAAATGCTATTTTTTTTTCCACACCAAGAAACACCCCCCCATTACCTTGTTACACCTTACCTAAATCTTGCTGCTGCTGTTGATCATTAGCCAGGCTTTCATGTAACACAGCAGGGGGGTTGGGGAGAGATCCCTCTTGACATGCTCAGGCCTTAAACTAAGGGCTCCGTTTTCACAGTCCCTCTCCGATTCCACCACACCTCCACTACAGGTTCACGCATGTGTGTGTACACACCGACGTACCTATGCACAGGAACAGAGCACAGCCGCAGAAGAGCAGCTGTTTCCTTCCCTGAGATGGCAGCAGGACTCTTACAAAACCTTTTCCGCAGTGCGTTTGGGAGCAGCTGGCTGTGTCCATGGTGGAGAAGCTGGTGTCTGGGTTAATTGCCTCCGTAGTTCAGCAGCGAGGACAAGGTTTGCACACACTGTCAATAACCTGGGCTGCATCAAACACGCTCCTCACTCCACAACTGCCTTCTCCATCTGACCGGAGCAGGTTGAAGACTTAAGTTTTGCTTTACGGCTCTGGAAAAAAGCAAAAAGTCATGATACAACCAGAAAACATTAAGCATTATCAGTAAGTCCTCACTCTTACTATGGAAAGCATGGAAAAATGAGAAGGTTTCAGAAACCCTGTTGTGTCAGAACACATGAACATCAGCAGCCATAGTTATGTTCAACAGAGCCATGCTGTGAGTAATGTGACAGCTAAGATGCCACCCGCCAAAACCAAGCGATACGATTACCTGGTGCTCTCGTCTTAGCCCTTACGCCCAGGCATTACAGCAGGTCGGCGGGGTCAATAAAAGCTGTCAGTCCCTCTGGCAGAACAGGACACTGAGGAACGTCAATTGCAAAACGCTCCTGTTGTGTGGTGTACAGCCGGCACCGTGCCTGGCCACAGCAACCTGTTGGCCATACGGAGGTGCTGGGCTGCCATACTGGGGCAAGCTGCTGGATAAAAAATGGCTAAGGGCTGGGGTCAGAGGGGCTGGGGTCCTCAGGACTGTCCCTGGAGTATTTCCAGTCTTGCAGAACTGACAGGCTTTAGTGGAGACATCCTGGCCCAAAAACTCACTCGACCTCTTCAACGCTAAGTGAGAAAATCTAGTGAACACTGGAAGTGACAGCTTCAAGGGCACCTCTGGGTGAGCTCCTCAGTGCTGGCTGAGGCATGAACTCCCCATCCCATGCTTCAGGCAAACATGAGTTAGCGTCTTCAGGCTTGGAGGTCTTTAACAAGGGCCTGAAATCTGCACCTGCCCCAGGCAACCTCGCTGTGTATGCTGTTTGAATCCAAGTATTCCTTTTGTGAGTCCTCAGGTCCTCAGTGCACATTTGGGAGAAGACCTGCCACCACTCCGTTGCTGAGAAAGAGGTAGGAGCAAGTACAGCTGACCCTTCTAATCTTCTGCTGAGGCCTTCTAGCTGAAGGCCACAAAGCACATACTTTGCTCTTGTGAGATCCCACCTGGAGTACTGCGTTCAGCTCTGGGGATCCCAACACAAGAAGGACATGGAGCTGCTGGAGCAGTTCCAGAGGAGGGCCAAGAAGATAATCCGAGGACTGGATCACCTCTCCTCTGAGGACAGACTGAGAGAGTTGGGGTTGTTCAGCCTGGAGAAGGCTCTAGGAAGACCTTCTAGCAGCCTTCCAGGACCAAAAAGGGGCCTACAAGAAAGCTGGAGAGGGACTTTTTGCAAGAGCTTATAGTGATAGGACAAGGGGCAACATGTTTAAACTGAAAGAGGAGAGATTTCCATTAGATCTAAGGAAGAAATTTTTTACAATGAGGATGGTGAGGCACTGAAACAGATTGCCCGGAGAAGTTGTGGATGCCTCATCCCTGGCAGTGTTCAAGACCAGGTTGGATGAGGCTTTGAGCAATCTGACCTAGTGGAGGATGTCCCTGCCCATGGCAGAGGGGTTGCAACTAGATGATCATTAGGGTCCCTTCCAACCCAAACCATTTTATGATTCTATGAATATATCCCAGGCTTCAGAGGACAAGAAGGGAGACTCTCAACAGTGGTTCCAGGTAGGGCATTTGAAGAACAGCACCCAGGGACCCAGGAGTCCTGCAGCCAACACCCTTCACTACCTGCCTTCTCAGCTGGGGCTGCACACCCTTCCACAGCGCTTGCCTAGCTCAGGGCCTGCTGGTGAGCATGCCACACTCCTGCTGCCTTTGGTTTGAGAACTGCACTGGAGAGCCGGAGGCTTGTTTGACAGGGAGAAGTGTAGCAGGTGCATTTGAAAGTACTGAAGGTCTGAAATACAGTCCCACCAGCACTACAACAGCCTACGTGGCCATGAACGCACCACACCACCCAGCACCCGTAGGGCCATCTTCCAAAGGTGAGGTTTGCCATAGCAGCTGTGTCACCTCCAGCCTAATTCACACACAACCACCCAAGCAGCTGTCTCAGGGAGGGTTCAGGAGCAGGATTGATGGGTGGTGGGGTGAAGAAGAGGAACTGCTTCAGCTGCCATGGAAGTTCACATGGAATAACAGCCTCAGGAAACCTCACCAAAGCCCCGAACAGCTTAACTTGCCAGTGAAGGATGCTCTGGCTCCCACTCCCCCTGCCATTTCCTTTCTCTTGCCTCAACACCCATCAGTGCCTTTGCAGGTGAGGAGAGATTTGGGTCAGCGTGCAGCCTGTGAATAATTTAACCTTGGAAAACAACAATTAGTTCCGGGTGGCTGGGCAAGCAGGAACGGATTCTCGTGCAGCCACGACTGCAGTGACGCAATGGAGGGTGTGGGACCTGCAGCTGGAGGAGAGGAAAGGCGGGACTGTGCAGCAAGGCCTTGGATTGGTTTACAACAATTGTGTAAGCAATCACTAGGGAGCGTAACTGCAGGGCTTTAAGCCAGGAATCATGAAAGTATTTGAACACCTTCCTGCTGGGTATTCGGCAAACTATCCTTTGCTTGGTCTCTCCCCAGGAGAAATGCCCATGTAGCCCAGCATCTTCTTCCATGGACCATTTCCTGCATGGGCACATTTGTGCTATTTATTTTTAAACCCTTCAACTTGAATTAGACAAGAGATTCACGGACCTGTCCAGCTCCCTACCATGAAGTCAACTGCCTCTTTGTAAAAGCGGATATTACCGTAAGAACAGCATGAGGTTTTGTATTTAAGTTGGTAGAAAACACAGACAGAATTGACTGATGTCCTCTTAGTAGAAAATTGCATTCCTGTGGACTGTACATGCGATTCCATAGTCTGGCCACTGGATGTTGTCATTGCTCCTCATAAACATCAGTATTACTGTCAAATGAGGAAACAGGGTACTCCAAAACACAAGGCGGCTCCAGCATCAACTACAGCTGTTGATTGAGCACATGCAAGCACCATGAGTACTGGAACATCTGAGTAATGACAACAGGGAACAAAGCAAATATCACATCTTACAGAAAATTTAAAGCATCTATGTTGCTTTAAATAACCAAGGAAGCCTGGACTCCAGTTATTGCTCTAGTGATTTATAAAAACATACATAAAAGCACAACAGGAAGCACTAAAACCAACGCTTGTCATTTATCCATTTGACAGCCATCTGGGAAGTTTCATTTCACTGCAAGATCTGTATTTATAATTTAACCTCGGGCAAAATATTTCTAAGATGAAAAAGCATTGACCACTTTACAGAGGTTCCAAGGAAGAACAATTGGGATGCTCCTTTGACAAGAAACGGGATCATAGAGAGAAGCTTCTGTTAGCTGACACATTTGATATACCTAAACAAATAAAAAAAAAAAAACACTAAGAACCACAGCAAATGAAGGAAAACTAAAGGCTATGCTTTTTTGGTTGCTTCCCAGATGTCCCTAAATATTGAAGTGCAATTTTGTGCTGGGTTCAATCTTTTCTGACTGCAGGCTGCTGCTAGAAGATGTGATACTGTTCTCACCTTTCCCTTACATCTCATCTGGTGATCACACAGGCAGAAGCCAAGTTTGAGATTACTGCTAGGGAAGATAAGCTAGAAAACGAAACAAAATTAATTAGTCTTTCAGTGGCTCAGCAGATAGAAGGAATCCATCATAAAACTGCAGGACCTTCACATTCTGTGCACAAGAAGTGGTGAAACAGTCTCTAGTGGAAGGAGTCCCCAGTTAAACCAGCTTAAGGACAACACAGAACTGCAGTCTGAGTCAACTCCAACTGTTTTCAGGTGACAACTGCCCCTTATAGAACTACTCCACTTGCTGCTTATTTAGCTGCTGTTATATCCAAACTGCACTTTGACAGGCAAATGCTGTGATCGGATTCATCCCACGACTTGCAACTTCAAGTTCTCTCGCATTATTCCCACTCTGACATCATACCGCTTCAGCGTGCTGCAGGGCAAGCCTTTCTTCAGCAGCAACACTGGTTGAAGGGGAGCCTTAACCTGCTCCAGCCCCGTGGCTACATCCTCGGCTGTTCCAGTGCTTGAACATGCGCAGTTTATCAGATGGCCACGCAGCCACCTGTATGAGAGAACTGATCTGAGGAGGAAAAATCAAACCACAAAACTTTCCACCACCCCCTCCTCAGCTTATTTTGAATACAAACCAGTTACCAACACTGCTTATGCTTTCACTTCTGCCAACTTTCCTCTCCCCCACCCTCAATATTCAAACTACTGCTTACTCCTTACTGAAACCTAAAAAGCTTTCAAAGGTAAAGCATGACAAACTAAAACTAGTTTTTGCTTTGCTGCTCTGATAATATCCGCATCAGAGCAATGGTCCTGCAATAAAGAACATAAATACAAACATCAACACTACTTGTATTAGGGTAATATTGTGGGCAAGGAAAACAAAACTAACTAGTAAAACTTCACTTCTAGATTCCAAAAAGTCCCATGCCAGCATCATGTCATAATAGCTTGAGTAGACCTGAAGATTTTAAGATTCAATTGTCATCTTGAAATAATTTGTATTGCAAAATATTAATTGAATCCCTTTCATGTGAAATAGCTATGAAATGTAGCAGAAAACATTAACAGGCCAGAAAAATGATGCAAGTGGCTTATGGTGAGAATCTCAAGCACTGCTAAATACAACTCTAGTTCTGTAATGGAGGAAAGGACAGTCGAGTGCAGAGTTGTTCTCGAGTTTAGAGAAAAGACATTTATAAGCCCTTTTTGGAATTTCGTTAGTTGAAAGGGTGAGGTGGGGCAGGAATACAGCAAGGTCCAGGACAGTAGTGCTCCTTGCTCCATTTCATTAAATGGAGTCTTTCAAGATAACTGGATTGCTTCAGGACAAGAAAGCAGCCATGAAGTGCTGTGGGAGCAGAATGCAGGCTGTGAAACCCCTCCTGCTTAGTGCTGGTAAATTTGTCTGGCTGAAAGATTCATGCTCTGCAGCAGAATACTCTGTACTTTTTTAAGACCATGAAATTCCATTACTAGCATCCAGCCCATTAAATGGTTTTAGCTGGAAGCAGGTCTGGCCTTCACTCTCTGAAGCAGTTGGGCAGAACAAGTAACTGCTTTTATAACAGTAGATAGTTTTCCAAGCAGCCACCAAGCACCTGAGACAGATTTATTTAGAATTCAAAAGCGTTGATCAAGCTCAAAGACTGACACATAATAACACATATTATGACACATTTTTAAACAGAAGCTAGCACAGAAAAATGACAATGTGCTCAGGCCAGAACTAGTAGAAAACCAGCTTCTCCAGTTAACTCGATGTACGTCCATCCTAGAGAATCACTGGAACAGCAGAAAAAACGCTCCTGTACTTGCTAGGTTTTGGACAGGATAAAGTCAGTCTAAGCAACGGGAGAAACACTTCTTCCAGGCATCTCCAGATGTTTGCATACCCTAAGGACTCCAAAAAAGTGCGGAGCTCTGTTCAGAAAAGCATACACTTCTCCCCATCTCCTGGGGGAGTCTCTCCCTTCTTATGTGTTGCATGCTTGCCCTCATACAAATGACAGAATTTTAGCCATCAACAGGAAGACCACGTACAGCTGGTAATAGCAGTCCTGGAGCCACTTGGAAGAATAGCTGACAATGGAAACAACAAACTGGCTCCAAACAAGGATATGTAGTTGGGATTTCTTGTGGACAAAAGTAAAAACTCTGGTGGGAAAAAAAAAAATCCCAATTACTATGACTACTAGATACCAAAAAAAAGTGCCTAACTGCTCTGAGGACTTAAGCTTGGTCAGCTATTACAGGGATAGATGTGCATGTTTAGAAGTGGCAGCAGCACAGGAGAGAACATAATCACCTACATGCCCACCAGCAAATCTTTCCAGCAATTTAAGACATATATACGAAACCAGTACCAATTGCACAGTATATTTTCAAGTACTTCATATTCGAGCCAGAGTCACCTTTTAGAGCTACAGAGGTTAGACTGTCAAAACGAAAATGTATAGCACCTAATAGGACATGGACGCAAAAAAAACCTGTAAGAAAGAAGTAGCAGCATAAGAAATACCTGTCCGTCAGACAGGTAACAGAGCCTGATGCAGGAATATGTCTGATATGACTTAGCATTGCAGAAGTGACTAATAGCACAGAAGTACTTCAAACAGTAAAGCAGGATTTACTCTTCACAGAAAAAAAAAAAAAAAAAAAAGAGTTGTTTCTGTTGAAGATATCAAATACTGTTGAAGTCCTACACTTGAGACTCATCCCTGAAAAGATGTACAGTGTCACCCGAGCAGCCAGAGATACTCACTTTCTAGGGCCATACACTGGACCTTCCCCTTATGCCACCTCACCACACTTCCCTACAGCCTGCTGCAAATGCGAGCACACACAACAAACAAGAGAATCAGGTGACACAACAGAAGGAATGCTTCATCCATGACCCCACTCCTCTTTGAAGCACATATATTTAAAAGCCCTCAGTATATTTTGCCAATAACTTCAATTAAAAATTAAGCACAAGTTGTTAGTTCAAAGAAGTTTATTATCCACACCAAACTTTCTCCACCAAAAAAGTTCTTCTTTTGTATGACTCTTGCCTCCCACCAGTATTTTCTTTTGCTTTTTGAGCTTGTTATGATTCAGTGATCAGATCCAAGAATGTGGAACAGTTTCAACATGGTCTTCAGCTTGAGTTCAGATGTTTGGCTTGAAACATCCATGATATCCTCTGCAAATATATCCAGAAGAGTTAATGAACTTATTATTTCAATTATATTTTGAATTAGCAGAATACACAAACATTGAAAACTTTTAAAAATAATCCTGACAAGAAAAAAAAGCAGAGTCAGCTAAAGTAAGAGCTTTGCTGTATTTGATTACTCAAACGGGTTCCCTCCCCAAGTTTATCAAGATACCTACTTTTATCAGTCTCATCCTGGGTTTTTGTGATTATCATCACTGTGGCTGGTGTTATCACAATTTTTGTTTTTTTTTTTCCCCCCCCACAATGGGATGGCCTACACAGCACCAGGCTTGCTGGTACCAGATGGGATTCACCCTTCTCAAAGAAGAACAAGGGTCTTAGTACAACAGCTAGTGGGGCTCGTTCACAGGGCTTTAAATTAAATTTGAAGGGGGAGGGGGATAATATCAGGCTTTGTCAATCAAGACAAGCTGAGGGCACCTAGGAGAAGCAGAAAGGAATTCCAGACACTAAATCAGATTCATCGGGTGCCCAACTTAACTGCCTCTCTGCAAACACATGTAGCATGGGGAATAAACAAGAGGAGTTAGAGATGAATGCACGCCTGCAGGGCTGCGATCTTATTGGCATCACAGAGACATGGTGGGATGAATCCTATAACTGGAGTGTCAGAATGGAAGGATACAGGCTCTTTAGGAAGGATAGGCAGGGAAGGAAGAGGGAGTGTGGCCCTCTATGTCAAAGACCAGCTGGAGTGCATGGAGCTGCAGCTGGGGACTGAGGAGGAGCCAGCTGAGAGCTTATGGGTCAGGATTAAAGGAAGGGCAGGGACAGGGGACATTGTAGTGGGGGGTCTGTTACAGACCACCTGACCAGCTATACCGAGTGGATGCGGCCCTCTATAGACAGATAGGAACAGCTTCATGTTCACGAGCCCTGGTCCTCGTGGGGGACTTCAACCACCCTGATAACTGTTGGAGGGACAACATAGCAGGGCAGAAGCAATCCAGGAAGTTCCTGAAATGCATTGATGACAACTTCCTTCTCCAAGTGGTAGAGGAACCAATGAGGAGAGGTGCTATGCTAGACCTTGTTCTCACCAACAAGGAGGGACTGGTGGGGAATGTGAAGCTCAAGGGCGGCCTTGGCTGTAGTGACCATGAAATGGTGGAGTTCAAGATCCTCAGGCTAGTGAAGAGGGCACTCAGCAATCTCACTACCCTGGATTTCAGGAGAGCAGACTTTGGCCTCTTCAGGGATCTGCTTGGTAGAGTACCATGGAGTAAAGCCCTATGGGGAAGAGAAGCCCAAGAAAGCTGGATAATATTCAAGGATCACCTCCTCCATGTTCAGGAGCAGTGCATTTCAACAAAGAGGAAGCCAGGCAGGAATATCAGGAAGCCTGCATGGATGAACAAGGAGCTCCTGGACCAAATCAAACAAAAAAGCAGCCTACAGAGAGAGGAAGCAAGGACAGGTAGCCTGGGAGGGATACAAAGAAATTGTCTGAGCAACCAGGGATCAGATTAGGAAAGCTAAAGCCCTGATAGAGTTAAATCTGGCCAAGGGCATCAAGAAAAGCTTCTATAGGTATGTTAGTGATAAAAGGAGGACTAGGGAAAACATGGGCCCTCTCCAGAATGAAACAGGAGACTGGGTTACCCAGGATATGGAGAAGGCTGAGGTTCTCAATGACTTTTTTGCCTCAGTCTTCACTGGCAAGAGCTCCAGCTGCACAGCCCAAGTCACAGAAGGCAAAGGCAGGGACTGGGAGAATGAAGAACCACCCACTGTAGGAGAAGATCAGGTTGAAGACCATCTGAAGAACCTGAAGGTGCACAAGTCCACAGGACCTGATGGGTCCCGAGGGAACTGGAAGATGAAGTCACTAAGCCACTATCCATCATATTTGAGAAATCGTGGCAGTCAGGTGAAGTTCCCAATGACTGGAAAAGGAGAAACATAGCCACCATCTTTAAAAAGGGAAAAAAAGACGACCCAGGGAACTACAGGCCAGTCAGTCTCACCTCTGTGCCCGGCAAGATCATGGAGCAGATCCTCCTGGCGACTATGCTAAGGCATATAGAAAACAAGGAGGTGACTGGTGACAGCCAAAATGGCTTCACTAAGGGCAGAATCTGCCTGCCTAATTTGGTGACCTTCTATGATGGGGTTACAGTGTTGGTGGATAAGGGAAGAGCAACAGATGTTATCCACCTGAGACCTTGATACTGTCTCACACAACATCTTTGTCTCCAAATTGGAGAGACATGGATTTGATGGATGGACCGCTCAGTGGATAAGGAATTGGCTGGATGGTTGCACTCAGAGTTGCAGTCAATGGCTTGATGTCCAAGTGAGACCAGTGACAAGTGGCATTTCTCAGGGGTTGGTGTTGGGACTCGTGGTGTTTAACATCTTTGTTGGTGACATGGACAGTGGGATCGAGTGCACCCTCAGGAATTTTGCTGACGACACCGAGCTGTGTGGTGTTGTGGACACACTGAAGGGAAAGGATGCCATCCAGAGGGACCTTGACAGGCTGGAGAGGTGGGCCTGTGAGAACCTCATGAAGTTCAACAAGGCCAAGTGCAAGGTCCTGCACGTGGGTCAGGGCAATCCCAAGCACAAGTACAGGCTGGGCAGAGAATGGATTGAGAGCAGCCCTGAGGAAAAGGACTTGGGAGTACTGGTGGATGAGAAGCTCAACATGAGCCAGCAATGTGCACTGGCAGCCCGGAAAGCCAACCATATCCTGGGCTGCATCAAAAGCAGCGTGGCCAGCAGGTCAAGGGAGGTGATTCTGCCCCTCTACTCAGCTCTCAGGAGACCCCACCTGGAATACTGTGTTGAGCTCTGGGGCCCCCAACACAAGAAGGACATGGAGCTGCTGGAGCAAGTCCAGAGGAGGGCCACGAAGATGATCCGAGGGCTGGAGCACCTCTCCTATGAAGAGAGGCTGAGAAGTTGGGTCTGTTCAGCCTGGAGAAGAGAAGGCTCCGGGGTGATCTTATTGCAGCCTTCCAGTACTTAAAGGGGGCCTACAGGAAAGCTGGAGAGGGACTTTTTACAAGGGCATGTAGTGATAGGACAAGAGGCAATGGATTTAAACTGAAAGAGGGCAGATTTAGATTAGATGGAAGAAATTTTTTACAGTGATGGTGATGAGGCACTGGAAGAGGTTACCCAGAGTAGTTGTGGATGTCCCATCCCTGGAAGTGTTCAAGGTCAGATTGGATGAGGCTTTGAGCAACCTGAAGTAGTGAAAGGTGTCCCTGCCCATGGCAGGGGAGTTGGAACTAGATGATCTTTAAGGTCCCTTCCAACTCAAACTATTCTATGATTCTATAACAGCTTTAAAGATTGAAATCAGTCTATGATGAGTATCTTGGGTATCATTCATAAGGTGGCTTGGCAAAGTCGAGTTCTTTGAAATGCAAAAAAGACTGTAAAATTGGTTGTTTCACTTATTTAGTTTTCCCCAATTCCTTCATTTTTTTTGCATAACTTACTCAGAAGAAAGTATTCACTGATGCTTTGATTGTCATGAAGCAAAATACATGTGCAGATAAAACAGTAAGACTCTACCTTCATTTATTATTTCTTAAAGTTGGGAAGATACAAACATACAGTCAATTACAATATTTGTTCTTTACAATAAAGTCTGATACCATGCCTAAAAATTAACTATTTAGTCATGACAACAAGAGCTAATTTGGCAGCTGAAGAACAAGCAGCTGCATGAATTCCTAAGTGCGTTAAAGCATCTTTGTAGCTTCTCCAAATAAAATTACTTAACCAAATTTGTAAAATTTAATCATACCTGTTCTCTTTGTTGCAGTCATCAGTGAAATCACTTTCATGTTTTGTAGCCTTGGTCTCCATTTCCTTGGCTTTAGAAGAGTCTACTTTATGATTATACTTGGACAGAATCTACAGGAAACATTAAAAGGGAATAAAAAGTATTATCCAAGAACTCAAAACTGGATTGGAGTTTATACATTTTTAATAAATAGCAGAGAACTCTTTTGTTTTTTGAAGAACAAAATTCGACTGAACCAAGCCCTTTTCATTTTACTGTTTTGCTACTAAAACTATTTGGAAAAGAAGTATATAAGCTAACCTGTAGAACATCATCTGGTATCCTTGTTATTTCTGGAGGTGGAGGAGTATTGAGTAACTGCTCATAGTGTTTTATTTTGGGAGGAGAAGGGTCTTCAAAGTGTTTAAGATACTCATCAGAGTTCAGCGCAAAAGGAATGCTATCTTCTATGTACTTTTTATCTGTTGCATCATTCTTTTTCACCGACTCAATCTTCTCCCCCTGCTTTACCAGCTGCAAAAGAGGTATTAAATGCCTTCAGTTAATTTACTTAATCTTAGATAAAGTATTTATTAAGTGTTCTTACAAAATTACTATTAGAAAGATCTTCTACAGTGACATAAGTAGTACTGGAAAGGAACTCCAAAGTGACATTTGAAAAACTGCTTATCATAAGAAGTGTGTGAAAATTTATATAACAGGTATTTACTACCTTAGCATCTGTTTTTAGCCATCTTGTTTCAAAATCTGGAAACTGTGGTGTTTCTGTACGACTGGGAAGAGGCAGTTCATTTGTTTCTGGTGACTTGGATAACACGGTGCTATTTGTTCTGGAAGAGATTTTCACATCAGGAGTACAGAACACAAATATCATAGGAGAAGCCATCCAGTCAGCTGCTGAAATTAAAGGTAAGAGGAATAAAAATATATACATAGGCATACATATGTAAATATTATCAGTTCCAGTGCCCCAGTTTAGTTTTCTATGTCTATTAGCTTTTCACAGATTTACATATTCTAGAACACCGGTATCATTTTAGCTGACATTTTTAGTATGAAGAACTATCCAAAGTACAGAATTCCATAAAAGCAGCAAATGCAAAAAAAAGTAATAAATCTAGTCCCATTACTGAATATAACTGAAAAAGCCCAACTTAAATCAGCATTGTTTAGCATCTCATATATTCAATTGTCACTATGTTTGTCCCAAGATCTTCACACATTTTTAAGAGAACATATTACATCTCTCAAAGTTTTAGCAGTGCTCTTGAAAGATCCAAGTTACTGTCTCGTTAGGAAATAAATTGCTTTGAAAGAGGCTATCTTTAAACAGATCTAACGGGTATTGTCAGGAGAAAAGCCTGAGTTGGCAAAACAGTATTTTTATTTCAAATAAGGATAAGTTGCAGTTAAAAAATAATGGATCCCTCTGCATAATTCTAGACTGATATGAGCAGAAGAATGAGTGAAGATATATAATGAACTGAGAAACTTTCCCATAGAAGCCACCAACATTTCATTTTCTAGATTAGTTCTCATAGCATGATTAGACCTGGATTAATTGTATTTAACAAGAAACAGTTTAAAAGTTTACCATGTGTTTACAATGCATTTACACATGCATTATGTAAAAAGTGCATGAATATATTTCACATATTTTTATCTTACCATTCTCAGCTGCCACTTTTGGTTTTGGCCGAGGAGTAACCATGATTTCCCTGGATGCCATTTCTCGTACATTCACTTCATGATCATCTTTTTTAACCAGCCTGAAAACCAAACCTCTCCATTAGCTCTCAAGTAACACGAAGAAAACACAGTTAAAGGAGTACTGTCAACCTGATCACTTTTCTAGTATTTGCTCATCAACATGCAAGTCAAAAATTTATTTCCTTGAAGATAATTTTTTATAGATTTTTCATCTACGATTCTGCTGTAGCAGTTTGTAGAATGCTCAGTCCATCCACAAATTATCAAATATAGAGATGTCAATCCAAGGCATTAAAAAAAACAAAGCAAAACAAGTGTCCAGGATAGGATCAATTTTTTTTTTTGTCCCACCTGATCAATTCTGTGTTAGGGGTAGGTACAGTCTTTTTTATTTTGAATTGCCTGTTGCCTACAAAATTCGAAACAACAAGAGGAAATTGTTTTAGCTTTTAACCTAATGTTATTGTGAACACTAAAAGATTTTTAATTCAATTTTCAAGTTTGAGTAAGATTACTTGTGTTAATCACTAGCTGACTTCAGAGTCAAAAGACATTTAATATCAACTCCACTACACTAGAAACTAAAATTTAAAAAATTCTTTTTTCATATCTAAGATTTCTAGTGGAAGAAGGGTGTAGGCAGTTAAGAGACAATACCAGACAAAGTGCAAGCTTACCTAAACTTTACACAAAATGTGTCTATAAGATGATGATTTTACATGTTCAAAAAAGCTATCTTGACTATGAGAACCAGATACGGAGCTTCTCTACAAAAAGCCTAAGCTTAAAAAAAACACCCCCAAACAATCCATTTGAGGCAGTATATTTTACTCAAATGAACAGATCTCAAATTTTGAGTTAAAAAAAAGGAAAGTAATTTTTCAAGTCAGTTTTGCTTTGGAAGTATTATAGATACCCGAAATCATACGATTTTTAGTTTTTACAAGGGAGAAAAACACATATAACAATAACCACTTTTGTTCAGGCACTTTTTTTTCCCCCCTCTTCTTCTTTTCTTTCCTAATTACTTTTGGTTTCAGTTTTGTAGTAGGTGCACCAAAGTATATGGCTTTTTTCAGCTGCTTCGAAACTGAAAATGTGAAAAAGTTAAAGGAGTTGAGATCTACTTAATATTTTTAAGAACTTTGAGATAAATTTTTCAAGTGGTTTTCACACAATGCACAGCTTCTAGACAGATTTCAAGTAGGCACAAGACCTGGCTAGCACAAGCAAGGGATATGAAAGAGCAGGGCTGTCTCCAAGAAAGTCAGAATTATTACCTGTCTTTGTATGTGGAAACTATGGGTATAATGGCTACCTCATTTGTACTAGTTTTTTTGCTTATCTGATCCTCGGGAGATTCTGCCTATTATGCAGTGAAAAAATAACTTTCTCTTATAATTTTTTTTTATTTATTTTGCTAGCTTAGCGCTCTGCCCATTTAACATGCTGAGCCTTCTCACTAGAAGAGTCGAGATGAGTGCTTTTTGGGGGTAACAAGCTGTTTAATTGTTTCAACCTTTCTGATCAAACCACAAGCTACCTCTAACTTAGTGACGCAAAATAAACAAAACAAATAAGCTAAAAGATGGTAAAGCAACATTTTAACTCTAATGACTTAATGTCATGACCTCTCACACATGCCACCAATTCTGAATCCATATGCAGCTTTAATTTGAGTCATAATTAATGTATGTCCATCTCTTTGGGTCATTAGTAATGATGATGCATTAAAGAACAATCATGATATATTAAATCTCTACAGAATTTTAATGTTATCATTAGGGGTATGGAAGACTGCTAGTGTGTTTTTTTGTGTATTATATATAACACCTCTAGTGGACTGTCTAATCATTTCACTAGAAGCCACAAAAATAGAATTTACATTTGTGTATGTACCCATTTATAAGTTATAGCCATCATTAAAGCTGAAAATCACATTTAAAACAGTTCTCATTACGAAACCACAAACAGTTATAGAAAACAAAAGATCTTAAATTGTGTGATAAGATAAAGCTATCATTTAAGAGAGAATGATTTTTAAATTAATATCTCTCAGGAGTCAGTAACAGTTTTCCTGTTATTACAATTCCAATACTATAAAGCTTTGTAGACATTATAGTATTTACGTAACTATTCAAAAGGAGAGATCTCAAAACTATTTTAAAAGAAAAATGTATCTTTTCACTTTTACTTTTTTTCACCCCAGTAATCTTAAAATAAAAAAAGACACTCAAAATTTAACCATTGCAGTAAACTGGATCTTTTGGGGACAAAATCACTGAAGTTGGCGTCGCTGTGAAAAACTTCACACCTGTGTCTATATTGCAAATATCAGAGATTAAAAAAAAAGAAGTTCAATGATTAATTCCAGAACTTATTTTGAATACGGTTCGGGTTTTGAACAATTTCTCAATACCTAATATTTAGCTGTAGAACAGTGAGCTTCTTTTAAATACTGTTAGCTTTTAAAATTGAACATGTTGCTAATACTAACTATGAAAACATGAACTAACTACCTTTACATTACTTTAGAAGTACAGAAAAACACTTCTGCTACTGAAGTGTTCTATTCCTCACTGCTGTAAATTCTTTTAATTAGAACAGTGAAAACCTGGAGATGTCTTTTTGACAGAAGACTGGAGCAAAAAGAGGTGGAAATGGATAACGTAAGAGATAATACACCGTGTTTATACAATGAGGCATTTTACTGAATGCATTAGGATTTTTTTCTGGGTCCGTGTTCCTAAAGCTTTTGAAACCTTTAAATTTGTTACGTAATATCTACTGCAGACAGCACACCTCAAATCCAAATCCAAAGTTAAGGAAAGCAAAAGATCAGAGATACACTGTGCGTTTTCCCCTTTGTAACTAGACTGCGTACTGAAAATTCGTGTCATGGTGCAGTCAAGGGAACGGGCCCATCGGAGATGTGTTTTATGGCACCATTTGGCACTGCAAAGGGTACGTGGAAAGAAACGTAGATAGTTGAATACAGACATGGGACTAACCAGCTGGTAGATAACAACATATCACCCACTCGAAGAGAAAGAGAAGGGCAATAGCAGCAAGGAATTAGTACGGCAAGAAGAAACTACAGAAAATTCAGTAGAGAAACACTCTGAACTTAGTAATTTACTCACTTCTTGCTTGCCTGAGCAGTTTTACGCATGAGCGACATCGTATAATCTTCATTCATACACATGGTATGTTCACTGATGCCGAAGTGTTCAAGTTTTGGTGTTACACACTCATAATCGTCCATCTTCAGCATGCATTTTGGTGTTTTGGGCAAAACACAGGGGGTCTGTGTTTTCAGTGGAGTCCTGTTCTTTGCATTTTCTTGATATGTATTTGTTGCCTGTCGACCTTTCGTTGCACTCCATGGCCTGGCGAAAGCATATTGGGAAAGACCAAAATCAGAAAGCTGGGGGTTACGCAGTGGGTCTTCGGGCACCAGTGTCTTCTCAGTACAAGCAGGAAGATGGGGTACATCTGCTTTTTCTTCATCAGCTTTATTCTGGATGGACACTTTCGAATCACTGTTAACTTCTTCATCCTTTTCTGCTTGAGAAAAGTAATTAAAAAAAAAGTCAGAAGTCTGTCTTAAGAATTTATAAAATAAATGGGGACCTCCCTTCCTCAAATTCAAATTTTTAAGTTTATTATTGTAAAAAATAGATTCTTGCTTTCATTTTAAAGCACTGACCTGAAGCTACAACAGATATCAAAAGCTCGTATCAGGCTAAGCTATATTTATAATATAGCTTGCACATTTACTGAATTTCACTGTATTAGTAGATATTATTTATAGGAAAAACGTAATTGAAAGATTTTTACAAAAGCGTATTTTCAATAGAATTCATCTCCCATCATGGAGCAGGCAGAAAGCGCTCATCTTAAATATATTTATTTTCATTTCAGTGCAGGAGTGGAAATTCATTAAAAATGCACAACGTAAACAACAATGAAACCAAAATTTGTATAGGACTGAAAATGGTTTTGGGGAAAGAGCAAAGGCTGCACATAGTGCTAGAATGCTCATTTTTCAGAAAAAACAGTATTGAAGAAAGGTTATGAAGCAGCAACTGAAAACTCATGAAAGAGGGTAGCTTTTTAAATAACAAGAGGCCACTGCAGAAATAAACAAACATGTAATTTGTACATTTCTGTAGTTAAACTGAAACACCCCAAAATATTTGTGAATTTCTGCATGATGTAAGCAGCAGAGTGGGGAAAAATAAAGCTATTTAAAATAATATGGCAGAGGCATTACCTTTTTATGAGCATTAGCATTATGTATTCAGATACACTTATGTTAAAAATATACCTTAAAAATAAATTAACCTTGTAGTTCTGTTTGGAGTCTTCTTTGAAGGCAGAGAGAAGACAGGAAGGAAGGTACTATAAAATCAGAGCTTTCTGCCATATATTTGTAAAACACTTGTTGTAGCTTCACTTGGAAGTGAACGTGGTCCATGATGGCAATTTTGCTTTGTGTGAGGACTGGATGATGCTCAGGGGAAGGTTAAGGTGTGCCCTGACAAGGGCTTCCTGAAGATCAGTTGGGCCCTTGATACTGAAAGGGGTACGTGTAGTACTGACAGCTGTAGTATTTTAAACTCATTTGGCATACCTGGATTTTTCACGCAGGTGTGTGTGCACTTTCTGACTGGATTAAGGATCTCATTTGGCATACCTGGATTTTTCACACAGGTGTATGCACTTTCTGACTGGATTAAGGATCTCTGCCTCCTTCCAATGATCAAGCTACTACTGCCTCATAGATTGCCACATGTCACCTAATCCCCACACACGCTTCTCTTGTCCCGTTCGTGCTATGGAGCATATTATTTTCAGATTTTCTTTATGGCAATTTAAGTTAATATAGTAATCACATATGAATAGAAACTAATTGAGATGCATCTACAATAGATTCCCATGCATGAGAAGCTGAAGCAGCATAAGTCTTTGGGTTATGAAAACATGTTTGCTAACATGTTTTCTGAATATAACTATT